GACTCTCCTGTCTCCAGTCCCCAAGTGCTGAGATCACAGGCAAATGCCACCATGACTATGCTCAGCTTAATCTTGACCTTGTAGAGCAGAGTTGCAGGTCTTAGAATGAACAATCCTACCCAGAAGAAACCACAAAGCCAGGGCTGTAACAGTTGTTACTCTTGTGATCATGAAACCATCCTATTCTGCATCCTCACCAGAGCTGACCTCACAATTTTTATATTTTATAGTTATCCTTTAAACATTTTAAACATTTATATGACATATTTTGATCATATCCATCCATCCATCATTATCTCCCCATAAATGCTCATAGTGTCTCTACCGTGTCTCCCTCTTCCAGTCCAATGGACAGGAAGTGCTAGGTCTTGAACATTACTGCATTTCCTCAATGAATGACACTGAACAGTTCTTAAAAAGATTTAATTTTATGTATATGATGAATGACTGCATGCATGTGTGTGAACTCCATTTGTTTCTGGGGCCTGTAGAGATCAAAAAGGAGAGTGTTGGGCCCCCTTGGACTGAATCGATGAATAGTTGTGAGCTAACTCGTGGGTGCCGGGAGCAGAGCCTGGGTTCTCTGCAAGAGCAACAAGTACTGTTAACCATAGATCCATCTCTCCAGCCCCAACACTGAATACCTTTGATGCCTACACTGGCCCTTTGTATAATTTTTTTTTCTAAAATAAAGTATCTGTTCAAAATTTTTACACATTTTGCATTAGGTTACTTTTCCTTTCATCTTTACCAATGGGCAAGCAGCATATAACACATGGACACACTGGCCTCCACACAGGCATTGTTCCATAAAACCATCCCCAGATGAGGACTCGGTGTAGAGATGCCCTCTCCTCCCCCATTGCACATCCCCAGGCATCCATGATAAGCTCCTGTTACCCATTGCTTTGTCTCTTCCTCCGCCCTACTTGCTGTTGCTTCAACACGTGATTCATGTGTCAATGGCCTGTACCCCTCACCTGCTCACTTGCTGACAGACACTTTCGTTAGTTATAGCTCTGCTTTCTACTACTAAGTTGACCACAGAACTTCTGTGCAAATTTTGAATGGACACATGCTTTCACTTGGCCTGGGAGGAGATGAAGTGTTTGGGACCCAGGAAGATGATGTTCAGCTTTTAAAGACATTGTATAGTTCCAGGTCCTCCATGCCACCAACACATGGGCTCAGACTCCAAAACTTTATCTAGTCAAAGATGTAGCAGCTCTGCCAGCCTCACATTGCCAGTCTGTGGTGTTCAGGTCTCCCATCCCATCCGTCCTGCTCTTTCTGACATCTCCAAGCTGCACTGCACTCATGACGACTGTAGTCCTGGTAGGATTTCTCTGGCCCCCTGTATGAGGCTTCCTGCTCATCTTGTGTAGCTAACTCTTGACCAGTCTCTACGTGTGACAGTTGCTCTTGGAAGTACCCATGGAGCTCTTCTCCCTACTCTGGAGGTTTCCCTGTTGCTCCAATGTGTAGAGTCTAAATCCTTAGGGCTCTGTGCATCTTCAGCTACCTGGGGGTTCTTGGAAATGGTGAAGCAGCAGCTCATCTCGCTATCCATGCCGCCGTGGGTGGTACTGGAGGTCCCTAGACCATAAACAGGTTCAACAAATGACCTTTAGCTGTCCTTCTGGTCACTGTCACTCAGGATACCCATGGTCCACCTTCCCATGCTGCTTCATGTCCTTCACACTGAACACTGACTCCATTGCCATATTTACTCCATTTCAACTACGTTTTTGTTTGTTTGCTGTTTCTCTGATCAAATATGACCAAAAATTCTAAAGGGCAGGGTCAGTCTTTTGTCTTTCTAATCTCAGAGTACATTGTAGTTCATTTATATTAAATACATTCTCAAAATGTTTCCAAAATAAATTAATTAATGGTATCAGCAAGCAAGGAATTTCAGTTAGGCCCTCTTCGGTGACAATCGAAATGGGGATGTCACCGTGATCTGTGGGTAAAACTGGGGTCTGATAGTGTTCTGTGTAGCACCTGAAAGGACTCTGGGTAGATGCTACTCTGATCAATAAAGCAAGATGGTGGACATCCCACTGACAATGCAGGAATAGCTTTAGCATGGATTTAGTCATCAGTATGTGCTCAACACATGTGTCAGAGTGGCTCCTGGCCATATTGGTTGAGGAGAAGCAGGGAAACTCTATTCCCTGTGGCTTCTGTTATGAGGTAATCAGTCCAACAGACTCAAAGAGAATAAATTCAGAATTCTGTCTATGCTGGAGCCAGATTCTCCAGGATAGTTATACAGAAAAAAAGAAAGAAAGAAAACATGATTTGCAAACAATTCATTGGGAATTGGTTGCATGCTGAAACACCAGCAGTGACTACAGTTTCAATTGCTACTGAGATAGCCTGTCACCCAGGTGGGAGGGGGCGGGAGAAGCCCCACGTTCCTGGCTGACTGTGGCATCCCATGGCAGCCTGGCGAGTTGCCACACTTCTGTGCTTTGTGCAGACACTGCTCATTAGAGAGATGACTCAGCTCTCTTCTCCTTTAAGCACTCAACAGAAAATAATGAGTTCTGGGCTTTCGCACTTTTTTTTTTTAATATGAAGAAACATCTATCTGAACACAGAGGGGAAATGTGAGCCAGAAGTGCCCCCCAGCGCTCAGCTTCTGAATGACTCGTGGCCATCCCTCTGAAACCACCAGTCAGAAGATTACGATGTCCAGTAGTTCACACTGGGTCTTTTTTTTGTTTTTCGTTTTTTTGTTTTTTTGTATTTTTTTTTTGAGACAGGGTTTCTCTGTGTAGCTTTGGAGCCTATCCTGGCACTCGCTCTGGAGACCAGGCTGGCCTCAAACTCACAGGGATCTGCCTGCCTCTGCCTCCTGAGTGCTGGGATTAAAGGCGTGCACCACCAATGCCCAACACACTGGGTCATTTTTGAAAGGGGAATAACAGCTGTGGGTTAAAAAAAAAAAAAAAAAGACTGGGTTATAGGCATCAGCTGGCACTGTGTGGATACCTGTGGTGTGAGGTTGTCCTGCTGGATGGTGGTGGTAGCAGGGACCCCAAAGCCTACATGATGTGAGGTGGGAATGCTATTATGGAATCCCAGCTGTGATGAATGCCAGCTCCCCTTGCCAACTGCTGATTCTTGGCTGTGCGGGATGTGGGCGGTTGCCACTGCTTCTCCTCTAAATAGTTCCAGAGCCCATAGAAACATTAAAAACCACCTGACAGCCTCTTGTGAGCAACTGTCCAAAGGAGCCAGTGTTCCAACACAGTGTGAATGGTGCTGACATCCTACATGGGGGAGACTTTGAGAACCTTCAAGGAGCCAGACACCTGTACTGGGCTCACAATACGCCAATCAGGACTGATAAAACCCTAGTGCAGAGTATGGGAACCCTCTGGACATCCCTGGGTGTTTAGCAACACACTACAGTCTTGGAAAGAAAACCGTCCATATGAGGTGGCGTGATGGGTGTTCTTTGGGAAGAAATGCTGAGCTTCACAGTTGAAGGCCCAACACACCAAGTAGTCTGACCTTTACACCATGGCCAATCTCATCCTTCGATACGAGCTAGTTCCCAGGCTCCAAGCTGCCTTCTCCTGGTACCCAGAGCTCTTTAATGTTTTCCAAAGGTAATTCAGAGTGTGACAAGGCCTGCTTGCAAGCTGACCTGAAAACATCTTGGTCACAATGCTTTCACACCTCAAAAGTCCTCTGAGGTTCTAACTCTTCCTTTAAAATATGCTTCCCATCCAAGGCAAGCCAGCTCTAGCATACTGACTGAAAGAGCTTGTACCTCAGACCTTGCTGGCAAATCTGGCCCTCAAAAAATATGCCAATTGCCTTGTGCTCAAGCCTGTCTTAGACAGATGGACAGTAGTCCAGTGCCCACACCTGAAAACCTTACTGTTTTGGGTACTGTTGATATCCTGGCTTCTCCATCTTCCTGGGTCCTGGGCAACCTGGCCCTGTTCCTGCTCCCAACTCCTCTCCTTCTCCCACCCCATGGTTTCTCCTCAGCACCTGCCTGCCACACTGTGCCAGCCCTCTCCTGGGCCTGTACCTTCTCCTTAGGGACCTTTCCTGGCTCTCTCCCTGCCCCAGGATTGCTCTTCTCCAGGATACCTTCCCTCACCCTGTAATCCCTCTTTGACAGGTGATTGCTCCTCACTGAGGACTCAAAGGCTGACAAAGATTGCATGGCTGTGCCATGCATGTGTTAGGTGACTGCATAAGGACTCTGCATACAGAAACCATGTGGAATTGGGGCCACACAGAGCTGGGCCAATGGCAGCTCAGTGACTCCAGTTTCAATGGCCCCAACTGCTGAGACTCATTCTAAACCTCTCCCATTCCCTATATAAACAATTACCTCTTGCCTGTTCTCTCTCTCTCTTATCATTTCTGCTCCCGATAGGTTAACACCTACCCCTTCCTTTGCTCCCTTTCCCAATAAACTCCACGGGAGTTTGTTGCATTTGGTGGATTGTGTTTCATTGCCCTAAGATGCAGCAGAGAACAACAGGTACCATGTCATCTTGATACTTTACCCCAGAACCCACAAAAGGGCAGTCTTTCTGTTGTCCTGGGATATCCACATTTGTGGCTTTACTAGAAATTAGAAGTCTCCAGGGATATAGCAATTGCTGACTTAAACATGTGACAGACAGGCACCAGGCCTACTTTCAATCATGTTCAGATGCTCTGCTCCTCTGGACATCTGGGCTGTTTCCACTCCTCTCCTGGACATTCTTCCTACAGACTGGTATCAGAGCTCTGACCTGAGTTCTTAGCACTAGGTTTTCTGCAGGGGTAGCTTATAGCTAGCACATCCCCAGGGTCCAGAACCTCCTTGCATTCAGCCTCACGCTTCTCATACCATCCAGAGCCAGTAGTCAGGAGGACAACTGCTGGGAGCCCAAGAACTGCTCACTCTGTCTGTACCTTATAGACAAACATACGGGCAGGTAAAGACAACCCCTGCCCCAAGGAGTAGGCTGAAGCCTCACCTTGGCTGGACGTGTCTCGTGCTCTATCCTGGGGCGTGCATTCGCAGTTGGGGCCTGGGACAGAAGCTCCAAGTAGGGCAGATAGCGCCGAAGGGTCTTGGCCAGGGCCGCTTCGCTCTCCGGGCTGAACCACTTCTCATTGTCAGCATTCTGTTGTAAGGTCCTGAAAAGCAAAGAGAATGACAGCTCAATCCAAGGTTGTCCCATGCTGAGCTGTGAGAGGGGACAGATGGGAGCGCAGTGTACGCCAAGCCTCGGCAGCCTGCCTGGGTGCAGCTGCGCAGTGAGCTGGTGCTCAATGCCTCGACTTCTCCTTAGCCATGGCGTTGTTTCTTCTCAGGGAACCTGGCCTCCCTCTTCCCACAGCGGTGGAATGCAACAGAGCCTTTGGGAGGGGACTGAGGGGTGGCTCAATGGTGCCCATGTCTGACACTATCTATCTACAGTGTCCTGGGGCACTGCTAACCTGAGACAAACTGAAACGGAGCATAACTACTGGCTGCACCTGTACCATGAACTTGACATCTGAGTCTGGTGGCTCAGATTTGTCATTGTAGCACTGCAGAGGGGGATGGAAAGCTCAATGACAGCTCAAACAACTTAGTGAGGTCCTGTCCAAATCTGTTTAAATGACTAAGAATTGCACACATGCAAACGCATTTTTATCAAATCTACACACAGTTCTGTCCAGTATATCCCCTACCACTTTTCTCTCCCAACTTTATTTGCTTCTCTTTAAAAGTCACTGCACTGGCTAACTTGATGTGAACTTGACACAGGCTAGAGGAGGGAACTCCATTTGAGAAAATGCCCCCATAAGACCAGGTTGTAGACAAGCCTGAAGGGAATTTTCTTAATTGGTGATTGGTGCGGGTGGGCACAGCCCGTTGTGTGAAGGCCCACCGCTGGCTGGTGGTCCTGGGCTTTATACAAAAGAGTAAGCCATGAGGAGCAAGCCAGTAGGCGGCACTCCTCCATGGCCTCTGCATCAGCTCCTCCCTCCTGGTTCCTGCCTGTGTGAGTTCCCGCCATCCCTGTTTGCAATGATGAACTATTACATGGTTGTGTGAATGAAATAAACCCTTTCTTCCCCCAAGTTGTTTTTTGATCGTGTTGTTTCATCAAAGCAATAGTTACCCTGACTGAGACATTCACTGAGTCCATCCACTTAGCGCTGCCTTTACAAGTATGAATGAAGGTCCACCTGCTGGAATATGGGTAGCTTCTCAGGGGCCACATCCCTGGGGAAACTGAAGCTCCATCCTCCAACAGCCATTAACTGACAACTCTCCTTAAAAAGGAGTTTTAAGGGGATAGATCTGTAGCTCAGAGACAGTGCAAGTGCCTAGCCTCAGGACCCTGGGTTCAATCTCCAGAACTACACACACACAAACACACACACACACACACACACACACACACACACACACACACACACACACACACACAGAGCAGTGCTGAGAGAGGCAGCCGGAGAGAGAGAGAGAGAGAGAGAGAGAGAGAGAGAGAGAGAGAGAGAGAGAGAGAGAGAGAGAGAGAGAGAGAGAGAGAGAGAGAGAGAGAGAGAGAGAGACAGAGACAGAGACAGAGACAGAGACAGAGATAGAGACAGAGACAGAGCATAGGCATGGGGGCAAGGCAGGGAGGGTCTGTGGAAAACTCAAAGGATTCTTTAGACCATGTATTACCATAGATTCTGAACCACAGAGGAGAAGGTGCCCTTGGTAGTATGGCAGAGTCAGGCACGATCCCCTTAGCAGGGTCAAGCCCCCCTCCATCTTTGTTTTGGGTGGGGGGGGGGGGGGCAGGGGGGAATGTCTGACTTCTGACCTATAGGGTGACTGGTTTGGATCATTCAATGCTAACTTTGTGATTTGCCTTTGCAGTGCCCGGGATCTTCATAGCAGCCGTTCTGCCGTCAGATGATGGGTGTCACTGTCTGTGCCGCAGATGGGCAGGAAGGGAAGTCTGAGCCCATAAGCACCTTGGGCGTGGGGCTCGTCCTGTGGGTAGATTGGGGGTAGGGCTAGCCAGGATAAGGTTGTAGCAGGATAAGGTCCTATGCCAGGCTTGAGTGGCATAGGACCTTAGAACCGTGGGAAACAATGAACCTCGAGATACTTCGCAGGAGCAGTTGAATGTCACTGCAAAGTCAGCAGGAGCCATGGCAGTCATGAGGGAGGTGTCAGAGGAGCGGTCAGGAACCATGGATCCCGAACAGGGTCTGGGAAAACTGGGACAATGGGACACCGATCCCAGGACTTGAAGAGCCATGTGGAATGTCATGATGGAGGTGTGTGTGTGGGGAGGGGGGGATGATGTCAAGTTGACATTAACCAATCAGCCAAGGTTAACCATGGTTGACCCCATGCTCCTCCCAGGTCCCTCGCTTTCTCTTAGCCTGGATGTGGGAGGCAGGTCAGTGGCACTGTATCTCCCATCTTCTACTCTAGTGCTCATTGCCTGTTCCACCAAGGCCAGAGGATACCTTCTGACAGAGGAACAAGATGCAAGCAGGCTCATCTGTGAGCCAGGACTGAAACCACATATGTGAAGCACACTGCTGATGAGAGTCAAAGACTTCTCCGGCAGACCGAGCCTAATGGCTGGAAATGCTGACCAAAGGCTTTGAATTCTGATCACTTCCAGGTATTTCAATTCATTAGGCACCTTGTTTATGCCTAGAAAGGAGTTGAGAACTAGTCAGACGGGCCAGCTCCTGTGAGCCACTGTGGGGCCTGCCTGCCCACATCGTATTGCCTTCAGAAACCTTCCCAAATCCATCATCATGTCAACCACCATCATATCACCTTCCCTCAGAACTCTGACAGCCCCACATATGTAGCTCTCAACCCCTAGCAGGCTCGGGGCTCTGCCCTGCATAATCCCAGCAGGCTGGACCCGCCCATCTCTTCTCCTTCTGCCCTGGGTAAGACTGTTTCCCTGCTGGAGGCTGCAACTTTTCTGAAGCAGAAGCACAGGCTAGCCCCACTCCCTGAAGGCCTGGCCCCTCCTGGCTAGCTCAGCTCCCTGTAAATTCTAGCTGGGCAAGGAGGTGACATCGCCAGGGCTGTGGTGCAAAAATAATGAACCCTAACATTCAGGGTTGTAAGCCTCCACAACTGCTTGCCCGGCGTTCATCACTTGGTTCCCCCCAATACTGGTGTTCACTGAATATTTCTATAATTGTATGATTTTTTCTTTTGTTGGTTTATTAGCCACAGTTCTAAGTGGCTGCTTTAAAGTGTATAGTATTCTCCTGTAACCCAGCACGGGTGCCTGTAAGTAACATCACACAGTTCAGGTGAAGCCTGGAAAAGAAGTATGGTAACCTAAGGGCTTTCTCCTTGTTGTCCTGCATGTGACAATCTATGTGGCCACAAATCACATTTACAGCCACCGACAAGCCGCACCACGCATTGTACACTGTTAAACCAATCAACTCTGCATGAGGTGATCCCAGTTCTCTGGCGCTCAATGGCCTTTGGGAGTGTGCTTCCCCATGCTTTTTTTCCTCCTCTGACACTGCAATGGGAAAGCTGCTTCAGTCCCTGAGAAAACATTAAGTTCAACCTTTGCATGCAGAAGGTGCTCCCTGGCATGTGGGGCTCTGGTTGATTTCTCCGTCCTGTCTTTCCTTTGGCCTAGATAATGAATGGCCAAGGGCTATCAATGAAAACACTACCTCCTCTCTCTTCCTCCCTGCACTCTTGCTGGGACTTTGAGAAATTTGATCACTGCATGTCTTGAGCTTTCATATTCGTTTTTCTTGGGGTGGGGGGTGTGGTGTCATACCGATTCATAGGTGTGGTTGTCTAAAAGAGAAAATGTCTCTTATAGGCTCGGGTGTTCGAACACTTGGTCCCCACATGTTGTGTAGCAGTTTCCTCGGAGATAGAAACGTTCCATTGTGCTGAGAAGCTCCTTAAGACAGAAGGAAACCAGCTCTAATAGGCTTCTTCCTCCCAAGAGGCAACAATAAAGCTATGGGGAGTGACTCTCAGACAAGACAAGCTGCAAAAAGGACCCTTGAGACCCAACCAGCACAGCTACCTGAAAGACCAGCTGGGCTACCTGGAAAACTTTCAGACCAACTGAACCATCTGGAAAGAATACTCTCTACCCTGTTGAGCTTCCTGCAGGCTGTGTGATGCCCTCCAGGTCACCAGCTTTGTGAACAATCACCCATGCTGGGATGGGCTTCGGCCATCTTGTGGGTTCTTCCAGCTCCTGTAAGTGACCTGTCATCCACACAAAACTTTGATGGTGTCTGTAGTTTGGTTTGTTGTGGGCTCACTACCTGGGAAGAACAGATGTGTGTGTATGCAAGCATGCATGTGTGTCTGCATGCCTGCATGAATGTGTTCCTGTGTGTTCCTATGTGTGCGTGCGTGCGTGCGTGCGTGCGTGCGTGCGTGCGTGCGTGCGTGTGTGTGTGTGTGTGTGTGTGTGTGTGTTGCATCTCCCAGGAAAAAGTATTGTCACACAACACCTGCAGGTAGCACTGTGTGGAGAAGTTATAAAACCTTCAGTTGGTGCAGCCTTGCTGGAGGAAGCACGTCACAGGGGACAGGCTCTGAGAGTTTATAGCATTGCCCTACTTGCAGTTCAAGATCTGGTTTATGCTTATGGACTCTCCCTCTGGAACAATAAGCCATAGTAAACTCTCCCTTCCTTAAAAATGCCTTTGGTCGTGGTGTTTTATTACAGCAACAGAAAAGTAATGAATTCAATGAGTCTCTGGTCTTCTGCAAGCACTTTCTTTTTTCAAATACTTCCATTTTTCCCTCCCTGGGGCTCTGGTCACATGCATATTTGGTCCTTCTATGTCTCTAAACTTACTACTGGTGATTACTTTGCTAGTCATTTCTTCTGTTTCCTTCTTTCTGTATCTCTGGGTTTACCAGAATTTTCTACCTGCATCTAACTGCTATTAGCCCAGTAGGCATTCTTCTCGTATCCCACCTCTTGCATCATTCTGTCGGAGCTCATTGGTCTCAGTTCCCTGCCTCTCCTGCCTAGTAACCTTTGATTGGACTCTGCACACTGAGTTTTTCCTCTTTGGGTTGTATATACATACTCTTGCATTTCCACAACCTTTTTCTTTTTCCTTGCTGCTTGTGTTGTTGCTATTGTTAAGACAGAATCAGTCTTGCCATGCGG